TCTCCATGCCCCTGGCCCTCAAGTAAATAAGTAAATAAATAAATATAAATATAAATATAAATATATATATATATATACATACATACATACGGTACGTTCAACCTCGCGATAGAGCCCTCGCCACAAAGCTGCTACGGTAGGCTGTCGGGATTAGGTCCAAAAGCGCATGCAGTCCACACGTGGTACGTAAATACGTATGCACGTACACACATGAAGGTAGGCACTGGCGTTCTCGAGATCCGGCTCGCCCTTCCAATTTCACATCTTTTCCAGCCTGCTGCCAGCACTTGCAGATTTTGTTTCCGAGGATCCCGGAAAGCTAGGATTGTCAACAGCCGAATTTCGGTGACCAGAGCGACGTGAAGATTTTCAAGCATTCCGGTAATGACGAAATGCGAGGACGCTCATGAGTTGTATCAGATTGTCGTTGGATATCGTTGGATACTGCAATTTTCCAGCCGCTCTTGGTCCATGTGTCCAGCGAAGCCACGACAACCTGGCAGCCTCTGTGGCGGAGGGGTGATGTAGTCGTCGCCGAGAACCTCAATGGGATCCTAGATCTCTTTGTGAACCCACGGCTCCCATGCCACAGCCCCGCCTGACGAAGCATTGCAGGTGTCTTCTTAATTAAAGACATATGATAGGCTGCATATTTTTACAAGTTACATATATATGTATATATGTATAAGTACTATACATTGTATATTATATTAATGTCTGATGTTTGTTTTAGCGTCAGCTCGGGGTGTTGTGGGATGGAAGCCAATGTGCTCGATCCGCGTCCCACAGGCGGAGCACCCACGCAGCGCACTGCGAGGACCAAAAACTTACCTGCAGACTGCTTCCTTACGGCGAGGCTTTGACAGTTTTCGTTTGGTTCGGTATGTTAAGGTTTCTGTCCGAGTAAGACGGTGAAATATTCAACTTAAACTGAGAAAGCCAGGTTCTTGTTTCGGAAGCCCGAGACCTCCCTGCGGCCTTGCTCACGGATTTGGAGATTGTTTTCCTTGCAGAGTCTCCGCACAGCATGGTTCTATCAATGTGGAGGTGGGCAGTTTACGCAGCAAAATGTTGCCTGCAACAGACGTCGTCACTGCAAACGCAGCATTTTCATGGTAATCCACCAGAGCCCTGCAGCAGTGGCTTTTTCGATGGGTGCGCGCATGCACTGTTTAAGCTGCCATCACACCCGAAACCCGCACCCGGCGCTTTCCCCTGTCAGCACCTCGACGCTTGGCTGTTCAACGGCACCTGCTCGCCTGTTTGGTTGTCAGGATTTAAAAAAGGTCACAGAGTTTCAGCGGCATTTCCAACCGATCGTGAGGCTGGAATCAGCGGTTGGTATATGGTCTCCTGGTTGATCTTAGAGCGACTACTAGTTCTCCTTTCTAGTTTTTGGAGGAGGCTGATGGGCGTGTGTCGGTGTGAATCAACGAATTGCAGCCGTGAGGAAGCCTTCGTCCGAGTTCTGGGTGAAATTTTGAAGCCGCGCAGGGCTCTCGGGATCGTGTCGAAGAAGTTCTGAGTTCAGATGATTGTGGGTCTCTGGTCTCTGGGAAGGAGATTATCCTCTGAATGTCGCACTTGGCTTTGGTCTTACACTTCAGTGCCTGGCGTTTGTGTCTTCCATGCCAGGCCAACCGCCACGAGGAGGCGCGGCCGTGTCAGCAGAGGCGAGACCGCTTTGGGAGTTCGGAGGGTTTGAATCTGACCGGTCCATGGCTGATGATTCTTCAAAACCTGCAGAGAGCACTGGCAAGAGTTAGCTACTGTAGTGGATACTTCAATGGGGACGTCATCCTGTCGAGATGGAATAGGGTAGCCGAGCCGAGCAAGCGCCGTCTTTCAGGACAGAAGCTGCAAAGCGACCAACCTTCCTCTTCCCCTTCCGTCTAGAGTCTAGATGTTCACGTTTGCGTACTCGTTTCATCTCGCCGGATGCACTTGTCCGAAATTTGTCCGAAATCACCTTGTCATCACCAGGCACAGTTGCCAGTCTGTTTCACTGCGAATGCTGCCAGGGAACAGCACACGTCCTTCTTAATCTTGCAGCTTGAACGTCGCAAAAAGCCGCTGGGGATCAGGTGCCGCAGGCCCCCCAAGAGCCAGCAGCCAAGTTGGTTTTTGGGGAGGCAGCAAAAACTAGTTCGACTTCTTCTTGGATCCCTTGTACTATATGTCTTGTAGCATCATCTGCTTCCTGTTGCTTTACTTCATCTGTCTACTGTGCTATTGCTTTTGCATCATCTGCCTGATGACTGGAGTTCTGTTCTGCCTGAGAGGCTGCCTTGCTAGGAACTTGTGCGAGGTACAGAAGCTGAGATAAGAGAGACGTTGCGCATTCGTCCCTCTTTGTAGGCTTTGCATGGCGTTCTGAGGAATATGCACGATGGAAACATCTGTGCCGATGACGAGGAGCCACATCCCCAGTTGTCTCGCATATGCTTGCGGCCGGCCTCGGAGAAAGCTGAGCGGCCCGTCCGAGCGTTTCGAAATGGCAAGCACGTTCTGCCGGTGCATGCTGGCAGTCTGAGGGCGCAGATGTGTGCAGATCTTGAAGCAAGTCCGTGAGTTGTTGGCTCCACTGAATGTTGACTCAGGATGTCCTTTGATATTTGCATGTTTGAGACCGGGCTTCAGATCCGAAATATCATTTCCAGATTCTTAGTGCTAGGACTCGGAGGAGCGGTGAGATCAGGCCTCCAGCCCCAGACTCTTAGCAACTGAACGAAAGTCTCTTCGAGGTATTTTGAGAACCTCTGTTATCTCAAGCCCCGGCCTCAGAAATGGGAGGTACTGGTTTTGGATTTTTGGCCTTGGGTGTGGGGACTGCGTGGCTGCAGGAATGCTCAGCAGCTCAGTCCGGATGTAGCCGTGGCCTTGAGTCCAATGCTGCGAGAAGCAAAGATTGACATCGAGTATCATTGGCGCTTTGAAACATGGCACCTTCTAATTCTCGGATTCTCTGCGCGCCTTGGGGAATGCAGCGGCTGAGGTGCTCCCTGGCCACCAAGGGCACACACCCGATCCGAACTAGCGCATTCACCTGTCCACGCCTGAGCGGAGATCTGGGCTTCAAGTAAAGTCTGGGTTTTGAACGGCATGGGCGTGAGTTGAGAGCTTGACCCAGAACCGGAGGACTGACAGAGTTAGAATTACCATGAATTTCGGTTTCCGCCTTCTGGAAACCGTACATGATGCAATCCGCGAGACATGCAGTTCAAGACCCTCCACTGGAGAAGTGTGAGAGGGAGTTCGGAGAAGTATTCTTGAACTCAGCATTTTCTGAAGCAACCCTTTTGGACTACACCCCCAGTTCACCAGAAGACCAAGGCTGTAAGTCGGAGCCTTGCAGCTTTGACAACACCGAGATTAACATGTCGCCTGCCCGGCAGGTTTGCCAAGAGATCATGTCCCCAGCAAGCCTGCAACCCAAAGGCTCTCAGATGTCTCTAAGACTGGGGCCCTGGCATGTACAATCACTGAAATTTTGCACGTCTTTCTCTGCGAGCGAGATCAAAGATGCCGGTAGGTCAGGTTTCGTAGCATTCTGCCGGATGATTTCCTCCTTTCACCGGATGATTTCCTCCTTTCAAAGAGAGACGCCAGGCCCTGTGATGGCTTTGATGTCTCGGGCAACCTGCACGGTCAACATTCGGCTTGCCCACATGGCGAGGGTACCTGCCTGGAGGCCTCATTACTTTCTCATCAAATACCCCTCAACCCTGTTCATTCTAAGCTGCGCCCTGGACTGCCTGATGTCGATTTGGGAAGTCGAGTCGAAGGTTTTTTTCTGGATGTTTCCAGCACCTGGGGGCTCGGGCCCACGATTCCGGTTTGACAGTCCAGCAAACCAGGCAGAGTTCCTTGGTTTTTCAAACGTCTCGGCCATTGTGTTACTGCAGTAATCCTCGACCATAGTAACTGGTACTGGTTCCAGTACATATGTATGTAGATATAAACACTAACTACATATACATATACATATCTATAGATAAATCAATAAATAAGTAGATGTCTACATCAAGGTACACAGATACATACAGTTACATGTGTATATACATACACACATACATACATACATACATACATACATACATACATATATACATATATATGTAGGTAGGTAGGTAGGTAGGTAGGTAGGGAGGGAGGGAGGGAGGGAGGGAGGGAGGTAGGGAGGTAGGGAGGTATGGAGGTAGGGAGGTAGGGAGGTAGGGAGGTAGGGAGGTAGGTAGGTAGGTAGGTAGGTATTGGCACTGTGGCTAGCGAACCCTGCTGGCTGTTGCGAGTGTGTACTCACTGCTGTGGTCGAAAGGACCTCGGTGAAATTTGTTGTACTGCTAGTTCCCCCTACACCTGGCCTGATGCGTCGAGTGCGAGTGCTGAAAATGTATGTATGTACACACACACAAAAAAAATAAGTTTCAACCAAGCCCTTGGGGCAAAAAAGCATTCCCAAGTGGGCCCTCGAAGAGGACGAGGAACTGCTCCTCGGCATGCCGGGCACCAAAATCTTGCGGCGGCAGCGGCTTGCTGTAGCTGGGGATGCAGGGCTTATACGGCTCTTTGTATGGATCTTTTTACGGCAATGAATCGGTAGAGCTGGAGCTCAACTCTGCAAGAAACACCTCTCGAAACTTTCCTGAGCTGGAATTCTCCACTTTTTCGCGTCAAGTCTGGCTCCCGGGAATTTACTGCAATGGCTAGAGCCTCTGGTCTGGGATCCCGCAGATGCCTCGTTTTGATACTATGTGCTCTGGAAAAGACGAAGATGCATAGATGACCTCAGCTGCAAAGAGTATCAGGGTGAGAGGCCATGAGAGGCCCGGGCCACCATCTGCTTGGAGCTGGTTACACTGCTAAACTGGCATAGGGCTACAAAGGTAGTTCAAACGGCCAGAAGGATTGCTATGAATGTCCTGACGCTGCACGGAGACTGAAGTTAAGTCAGCTTACATACACAGACGAGTTTTCCGTATGCTGCGCCAACTGTCGCACACGTGCGATTCGTGCGCGCTCACCCAGGTGCTACAAGAAGTGCTCGATACTAACAGACGGCCGGGGCCATTCGAGAGTTCGGCATTCATTTGTTGGCTGTCTGAGGTTACAGAGGCAAAGGTTTGGTCTCGTGGGTGCAGAGGGTTTGTCGGAAGCCACTGCTTTTCTGGCTGCGCTGCGAAAGTTATCAACGATTCCCTCAACGTTCTATCCGTGCTGGAAGAACGTGTAAACGTGTTCAAGCAGAACGTTCAATGACAACTGTTCGTGGAGAGTGTTGGGCTCATGGCGACTACCTAGAATTGCGATCTTTACTGGCTGTAGCAAGCCTCGACGTAGCTTTCAATTGCTGTGCCTTTCTGTGCTTCTCGCACGTATCCGGACCGGCTGCCGCAGGCAGATTTAACCACCGCGTGGCAGCGACAACTTGCTGCGTCTGGGCAGCGTACAGTCCCCCTAACTTTTCGGAACCAAGGAGTCCTTCACTCATAGAGGCCCATTCAGTACTTCTGGCTTTTTTCCCCAAAAAGCTGCTGGATCTTCGGTCGAGCCTAGGCAATCTCTCAGTTTATCTCATACCGTCAGCCAGTCAGGCAGGTTGCAAAATGTCGGGCTCATGCGTGTTCCTAAGCACAACGGTTGTGGGCACGCCTTGCACGTTAGCTCCCTCTGTTGCGGTGAATACGGGGCCGAGGCCTCGCTGCAAAGGGTCTCCTCGTGGTGGCAGCAGTTGTGGTGAGAGAGCAGTGTCCTAGTCTCGTTTACACGACCGTGCCGGCAGCAGCACGACACCACCATGCCGCATTGCCGCACCAGCAACCAGATCACGATCATCTGACTTGTCAACTAGCAGCACCATCACCAGCAGCATCCATGGTGTGCGACACAGGTTCGGAGACCGGCTTGGCCTGTTTCAATCCAATGAACCTCAAGCCTGGGCCTGAGCGAGACAGAGGAGGGAGAGAGAGAGAGAGAGATACAAGCTTGGCCAGGGAGTCTGACCAACCCCGGAAGGGGCCTTTCAGACGTACCGGTGCGAACTTTGGGGGGTAGGCCTTCGGGCCAGAGATCTAGCCCCCGCACCCCTAGCAAGCAAGCAAGTAAGAGAGAGACGTCGGAGGACTTAACTCGTCCTTCATACCCTGGAGAAGAACAGAGAGAGGGAGAGGGAGACGCCGAGTTTGGGTTGCAGAAAATCTTCCTGTCGCGCATGTTAGCATTACAGATCTGCTGGCCGCTGCTCAAGCATAGAGGCATAGAGCCGACTAGATTCGACTAGATTCTGGAATCCGTGCCGAGGGTGTGTTGCAAAACAATTACATTTAGCTAGCTTGAGTCCTGAAGAAACGCCCCCTGCAAGGACAGACTTTGTGGGCTTTGCCGTGGGCGGCGGCAAGGCCACATTGGCCGATGGTTGCAGTTGTTTCTAGCTTTTTTTCTCCTCCGGTGAGCAACTCCTTTAAACTCCTCCTCCTGCTGCTGCACCTGCCACTTCTAGAGGTCGAGCCATACCCCCTCCCCACCCCGATGCGGACATGTAGAGGTCAGGACATGCCCAGGAGAGTCAGTGACAGTCCGCTCCAAGTCATGAAAGTTCCTATCAGGCTCTCCACGCCTCAACCCCCCAACAAAAACTGTGCTTACAGGGGGATGGCAGCCAAGCAACTCCCTCGGTGCCGCACCTCCCCATGAAGGCAGGCGGTGTCCCAGACAGATGAATAATGCAAGCTTACAGAGCCTGTTTTCGTTGGAGAAAAATCCCGGTTAAACGTAAACTTCATCTGGATTACGAGGTCGCCATAATGAATAGCATGCTTTCGGGCACAAAACCTCGTGCCTTGTCTAGGCCGAAGAGAGGGGAGTTGTGATCCGAGGTTCCGAGGCACCCCAATCCTCGACACCCCATGATCCCAGAATTGAGCCCGTGGCCGGAACTCGAAGCATGTTCTGAAGCTCGCGCCCCTGCAAATGTCAGGAGCTGACAGAGAAGGGTTGGAAGGCGCCAAAGCAAGAGGCGGCGCGCTGAGTCAATGTAGGAGCGTTCGCATGTGTTCATTGTGTTCGCTTGATTGATGTGTGGAAATACGTTTGTATGTGTGTACTCGTATGTTTGAATTTGTTTGCATGTATTTGTGGATGTATGCCTGTATGATCGTGTCTGCATGCATTCGTGCTCTTGCTGACAGCTGCCGGGCTTCAAGAAAACACGGTCAGCACTTGAAGGTCCCGACTGCCGTGCCAGCACGAGCCTCGGTTGTGGGTTGGGGTCGAGGGTCTGCCTTGAGTCTACTGTAGCCCTGGATGCCCCAGCCGCCCCAGCCACGAGAACAAAAATCTCCCTCTGCGTAATCCAGGCAGCAATCCCGGTCCCGGCAGCAGCTTGATCAGCCGCGCGGGGCATTGTTGTCTCTTTCGTCGTCGATTGGCAATGCTCGATTGTGTTCTTTGCTGTTTTCACGTCTAGTTCAAGCAGTTCGATGGCATGTGCTGTGCTGTCAGTAGTAATTCAGATCTCGCTCAGACAGACTGTACAGTCTTCAGCGGCCAAAAGGGCCGAGAAATGTGCACGCAAACAGTGGACAGTGCGACTTCATGCGCTCCAAAATCTAACTTTCGGGGGGAGGGGCAGGGTGGCAGATTAATTCATCACTCCTGCAGGTGCAGCTTCCGGGGACATAATCGCCGAGCGAAGGAGCAGGGTGCATGGCCAATCATGTCCACATGCTGATCTTGCGGGTCAGCAAACCGAGTCAGTTTGTGGGAGACTGGGTTCGCGACTGGTTGGGCAATCGGCTTGGTTTGCTATCCGACTTAGTGGTCTTACAACCCTTTGGGTTTTAGGCTTTGCCGTGGAAGGGAGGAGGGGGGGGGGCAGGGCGGCCAGAAAATACATGTGCAAGCACAAGACCAAACATGTTGTGAAGATGCTTTCTCAATCCTTCCAAATCTCCTTTCTTTGGACAAGTTTTGAAGCTTGCGTCTTGTCAGCGGATAAACATGAAAGCAACGGAGCCCGCTTTCCATGCCATGAAAAACTCTTTGTTGCACATCTATCTATTTGTCACTGTTTTGCATTGCACTTGGCTCGTGAGACAATTTGGCTGCGCCCAACAGAGCCGGCGCTCCGGTCAGCTCCTCAGACTTTGAGAGTGCCAGCGACGGGATACGTCGCTGTTTGTCAGGTGGGCCGTACTCGCATGCTCGCATGTATGTGTGCATGTGTGCGTGATTCGATTGGCTTGTTTTTCTTGGCCGAACCGAGTTCCCACAGGCCCCCACATCCGAAACTTACATCTTGAAGCCTGTACATTGCTCGAGGCCCGATACCTGGAACTTAGTTTTATGCGTTCAAGACCCAGCACCTTTTTCGTATCCTTATTGTAGCTTTATCACAGCCTCAGGCCTTCCCCCGAATCCGCCCAGACAGGTTTCTCGGCCATGGCGCTGCGGGCGCTGCCGGCCCTCCTATGTTTGGCGGTGCTGGCGCAGGCGAGGGCCTTTTCGATTTAGGGAAGTTCGGGCATAGAACTGTTGGAAGGTTTCTTCCGGTTTGTGTCCGAGCATTCTGTATTTGCGTGTGCATGCGGCGCACACGCGTTTGTGGCAGACGAGCTTGGTTTGTTTCTGGAGTGTGGAGGATGTGCGGACTTGTGCCGAGTCTTCGCGGGAGCTGCTGTGGTTTCGTGTTGAGACTGGTGTGCTAATAGCAGGCCCACCGACACTTTACATCATCATGAAGCTGCACTTGCAATGTCGCCATATCTTTTTGTCAGCATCAGAGAAGAATCATAATTAGCCATTCCCCATGGACCAACCCCAATTGCTGCTTTAATGAAGGTTTGTCAATGGATTCTTCCTGCCTTCGTCACGGGCGCGCCAGCACCGGCAGAAAGAACTCCGAGCTCCTCGGCTGAGTTTTTGCTCATGGCAGTTTCAGTACTCTTGTGTTCCCTTCACTTGTTGGGAACAACGAGCTGGGGCTCAAAGCCAGGCACTACGATGGTTTTTGTGCTCATGAGATCCGCATTTGTGTTTTTTTTGAAGCAGCTTGCAGTTGATGGCTCGAGAGGCGTGGCAATGCGCAGCCGCAGATTCCGCAAGCGGGATATCGAGGCTCACTGCTTCTGACGATCGCTGTTGTTAAATCAAACGAAAGGACATGCGCACACACACACACAGTCTCACACATGCAAATGTATACATGTTTGTGCAGACTTGTTTGAATCGCATGTTGTATGGCCTGCATCGACAATGAACGGCAGTTGTGTCATCATGGAATTGCATGAGTTGTTGCACCCACATGTCGCATGAAGAAGCAGGCACGAGGAGTAGGTTGCATACTTACCTGCACAGCAGTCGATGTGTATCTATGATGATTTGAGTGATGTTGCCAATAAACGATAGTGTTGTCTAGCTCAGTGCATTCATCCCCCAATCAGTAGTGGCACTGGGCGGTGACCTTGCCAGACTCTTCCTTTGCTGGAGTGTGTTGCGTGCCAGGCATTCATGACACCGTCAAAGCGACTTGACTTCAAGAGGGTGTCTTCTGAGACCCGTGTCCGGGAACTGCCGTGTCGTTCCCTGTCAGTCTTTCATGGACGAAGCGGCACGACCGAGTAACCATAGTCATAAACTCTACTTGGCGACATTACTGGAAAGCTCGAAACATTTTGGAAATCCGACACGAGGATGCAGCAGGCTTCTGCCGCTGGGCGGCACGTTGCGGATGTCTGTGGTTTTCGGACTTGAGAATTGGCACAGGAAGCATTACTATGTTCACCACTGCTGTGTTGACCAAGATTCAAGACAGCCATCATTACCATACATGGTTCGCCGCGTTCTTGCTTGAGGTTCTAGGACTAGCTGTTCAATTTCACATTGACCCATCATGAACCGGGCCATTGACCTGCATGTCCCGCGCAAGTGCCTCCAGCGTGCACAGCATCTCCGCTAATGTATCGAGAGCACTTTTCCACCTTTCACCAGGAGATGGAGTGCGACAGCGAGGAGTTTGTCTCTGAGGCCATTGTGGGCGACCCGAGGCCCCCAAAAAGCGGAGATCGCGTCGGTTGACTTTTTACATGACCGATTTGATGTGGTGCTCTCGTCACGTTGAACCATTCGCAGACTTGTGTAGATTTGGCATAATTTGACTGCCACGTGCTGGTGCTGGCATTCGTGCGGATTCATCCGCTAGCACTGTTTGGGTTTCTTCCTGCTAGTCCCGTCCAAGGGTTCTGCACCCCGAAAGTGGCGCCGCTCCGTTATGTGGCTATAGCTGTGCCCATGACTTTGCGCAGGATAAATAGTTTTCTGCGTAGTCCGAAGCAGTTAACCGCCGTCATCGATTTCATTGCATGGAACTGGAACATCGGACCCAGTACCCACGCGCCCGACGATCCGAAACCAGGAATGCCGAAACATCACGTGGTGCTACGCTTGACATCAGCCTTCTTTGTTTCAGGGGCTTTGCGCACGCTTCCGAGCGACTTCGCAGTGACCGTGACTTTGTCAAGAAGATGGTGAGGCGATCTATTGACTCTACTGTTTTTTTTAACTTATTGTTCTTTGAATTTGGGAATGCCTGGGTTTGGGGTTTCAGCCTTCTGTGAGTTGTTGAGCAATTCTGGAGTTGGACTCAAGTTATTTGGGATAATACATCGGGTGTCAACCATGCGGCTCGATCCGGCTTGAAAGGTGCTTCGGCAGTTTGGAGGGATGGTGATTGGTTTGTGGCATGTTTCCAAAACACTGGGTCCCCCGTTTGGAAGGCTGGAAGGCTTGTCCACTTGCATCTATGTTGTATGTATGCATGCATGCGTGCATGTATGTGTGCTTAAATACGTGTGTATGCCCGTATGTATGTCTGTATGTATGTATGTATGTATGCATGCATGAAAGTATGTGCATGTATGGATGGATGTAAATATGTGTGTATTCCACTCGGTATATTTCGTTTGTGTATGTGTCATATATGTATACATTGCACGCGAGCAAGCATGCATGACATGTAAGCTCGTGCGTATTTATGTACGATTATGTACGTACAATAAGTATATGCACGCATGCTTGAATTGCATGTATGTATGTATGTATGTATGTATGTACGGCAAGCATGTATGTACTAGTAGTTACTGAGTCGTATTTGTGTTAACCTGCAGATGCACACATTTTGCACACGAGGCGGCCCTTGACCAAGCCATGCTCCGTAGCAAGCGCGTAGACATTTGTACGCATGGGCTATAGAGTTATATTAAACAGATAAATGAGGAGCTGTATGTGCGTGTATGCATCTAAGCCTATGCTTCTAATTCATATATGAGCAGACAAAGCAGGCAAGCTAAATAGATTAAAGTTGCATACACATGCGCAGATGCATGCCCGATAGTTAGAAGATCACTGATGCTTCATGCTTGGCATTGTTCATTCCAGGTTGGTTTCATTTCCCGAGGTTTCGTGTCACATCAATAGCAAAGCCAAACACCCTCAGCAAGGCATCGGTGTGAGGATTTCGGCCCTGTGCAGGGTGAACCCAAGAGTGGTTGATTTCATGGACGAAGACCTTTTCGCCGACGAGGAGTTCATCGAGGAGCTGCTGGCAGCCACGCGTCGCGGGTGCGAGTTTGACAATTGTGGGACGGGGCCGAAAGCCAGGAGCTAAAGTGGGAACTGCAATCAGCTGGCTTTGGCGGGCCCCAGACGCTTGACTGCAGCAAGTTAGTTTTTTGCATCGCAGGGGATGCTTTTCCGCGGCTGAGGGTTTTGTCACCAAGCAGGGGAGGCCGTCCGATTGGCTTAACCCATGTCGTTCCACAGCGCCTTGAAGCTTAATCACCAAACCCGGAATCCTCCTTCCTGCCTGATGCGGATGCACCCTCAAGGAGGAGCTGTCGCCCAGAAACCCAGCCCTCAATTGTTGAGCCGTCCAAGGATCTATGGTTTCAAGGCCGGTCAGGGTGGGCAATCGACATGCCTTTCTGTGGTGTCAAGCGAACTTGGTTTAGCGGGCCACGGGAAACGGGCCCACAGTTACAAGTGGTTGGCGAGTTGGTCCGTTCAGTTCGAGCACGCCTCAACACCTGCTAGGCCGCTCACGGCTTTTGGGGCCGTGGCCGCCGCCATCCAGCAATGATGCGGCCAAGGTGGGAGCGGGGTTCAGCGAATTCTGTCGTTTCGATGGGGCTGCCCGAAAAGAACCAAAGACCGAAGCTTGTTGCAGGTAAGCGCCATGAAGATTTCCGTTTTCAAGAGAGAACCGGGTAAAGCTGGTAGAGGGTTCGATTTCCGAAATTGGTCTTCGGCTCAAGGCTTCAGGTCTTGGCGACTCGGAGGCTGAGTTTGGCGAGTCAAGGTTTCAAGTTTCTTCGCCAAGAGGGCTCTCGGCTGAACTTCGTCGTGCTTACACACCTTCACATGACCGCCGGCATTGGTTTCCTATGGCGCTTTGGAACTTTTGCATCATATTTTATCTATGCAGCCAAATGTCGTCAGGCTCACTGGCCTTTTTTTGGATGGAACCTCCGTGAGTTTGGGTTATCGTACGTCTAGGATTCCGGATTTAAAGCTTCTGCACATTCCAAGCGCACCAGGGCCACAAAGCGATGGCTTCGCCTGAAGAAAGAGATGCTTGGCACCAAACAGTCCACACCCCAAGCCTGAAGGAGAAGGACGTGGACAGTTTGCAGCATTGTTGAGCTGAGCGGAATCCAGAAGTCAAGTTTCCAAACGTTTGTTTGGTTTAGATTGCAGTGCGCAGCCTGAAGTCTCCACCCGAGCCTTACGACTCTTGGCCAAGAGAGCGTTTCAACATCACCCAGGATGATGGAGGAGAACTCCTGAGCCGCTAAGCCGCGAGGCTGCAGAATGATTTGCAACCCGCCAGTGCTAGACATTCGGCAGTGGCATTGTTAAAGAACATGGAATCGACCTGCATCGTTAGCATTTCGTGCGGGGGTCCGTACGACCTTGTCCGGATTGAAGCTGTCCTGCGCGCAGTTCCATAACGCGGACGAGCCAAACCCTGCCCCAATGCTCCAGGAGAATGCATCATCACACAGACCGCATAGAACTTCGATACAACCTCTTCACAAGAAAGCATACTGCTAAGTCCAGCATCCTTGATCCAGAAACTGTGAAATCATAGTCAAAGCACTTGCTTTGCAGCACACCTTGCAGCTGAGTGAGCAGTTATCAGCCCATACGACTAATCATGTCTCTTGAGGCGAGCTTGCTGCATGACGGCGTGAGCCAAACATGGCAGGGCTGCTTAAACTGTCTCCCACTGTCCTTCAGCCAGTTTGAAGCCTGGTAGAACATGAATAACCCGCCGCACAACGGATCCACCTGTACATCATTCGAGATGCCTTTCTGAGTTTGAACAGACAAAGGAGCAGTCTGGTCTACTATTTCACTGCTGTTGTGGATGCAAGCTTCTTGCTTTTGAACAAACTGTTCTCCCTGCCGTTCATCTCACTCCAGTACAATTACCATAACCTTGTTCTGCAAGTAGTCAATGACAAGCAAGCTCTCACCTGCCGCTTTGGCATTACGCTGCCATGCTCATGCCCGAGAAAAGAAGCTGCTCCGTCGATACAGTGGAAGTTCACCTCCAAGACGGATAGGGTTGGAATCCATGTGCCCATTCATCAGAAGCCTACATCAAGGACCCATAATAGATATTCAATTTGAAGCTGCGCCAACAAATTTTTGCAGTGAGAGTTGGCCTGGGGCCAAAGGATGCATGCCTGTCATGTTCGTCACAAGGCATGATCAGGCGTAGGCTTCTGCGGTTGGTTCGCAAGCAAGCTCGACCCCGATGCCTTTTGCCCGAACTCAGTGACATACACGTTGCTTGGAGCATAAAGCCAAACAAATGATCGACAGTGGCTGCGCAGTCATGAGTCATTTCAGGAAACATTGTTTGATTTTTTGAACCAGTCCTAGCTGCGGCAGGCATGATGGATTGCATGGTTTTCTGCAGTCATTTATGAACATGTACCAACAGTAGCTTGCTCAACAAACGACATTACTCATGAGCAAGTTCATGCTTCGCCCATGGCGTGAACCTGCGGCATGCATCCGATTGCGAATGGCACGATATGCCTGACGACTCAGACGCGCCAGCGCAGGTTTCGTGGGGAGCAGATGTTGATGTTGGTCATCAATGTGAACTATTAAGCTGCAAAGGCGACATTTGCTACGTTGAATACGACCAGCTGCTGCTTACACGATGACGCATCGTTGATAAGTACTAATGGTAGTTGCTTTTTCTTGCGAGGTTTGCCGTTGATTAGCACACTATTAGCACACTCTGTGCTATTTTGTTGCGCCCTGCGCTGCTCGCACTGTGCCTAGTTCTCTCAGCTCTGACTGCTCTGGCCCCCAATCGCTGTGTTGACAGCTGCTATACTTACCGGTTGTGTTACTGTTGCTGCTATGATGTTGGATGGTTCATCTACAAAGCCTGAGCCGGTGTTGTGAGAATTGCGACTGGTCGATGATAAAATTTGTGCCTTACAGTGACTTTTTTGCTATTGATGGACTTGTTGTGATGCCTGTGATCAATGTGGACGGTGGCTGCTGGTATGCTAAATTAGTCCGTCCAACATGCCTACCCGGGCCTAGCCTTCCTGCTCTGCAAATTTCGACTATATCTGATTCTACGGCTTGTGCGAGGCCAGCCAGAGAACCTTGCCGGACCTCAGTCCATCTGCAGCCAGTGGGCGCATCGGAAGCTTCGGAGTTTCATCGCGACAACTGGGAATCCCAGTTGCAGCCCATGCCAGCTTGCTTGTCGTCAGCGCAGGTCCTGGGAAATAAAAAAAGGCATGTGGAAGTGGTGCCAAAAGACACCCGTCCAAGTAACTTCGATTCTGTTACAGGTCGAAGAGACTGCTGCTGTCTTTTTCGCGCCTATCCCGAACTTTCCCACGCGCCGCAAGCAAAACCAGCGTTGGACACAGCGATACAGACTCGTACCGGTATACCAAATGTACCATCGTTTGCCTCGACGATCTCCTATCGTTTTACGAGCTTTGGCCGTTGCAGCCTGTACACGTGGCTGTGGCAAATAGTTGCACGACGCCACGAACGTATGGTCACAGCATGGACTGGTCAATCGCTTTATACAGTGGAACTCGTCGGGCACTGTAGACGTGCTGGAGTCTGCAATTCACTCCTCATGCCACATTGACTGTTGGCGGGGCTTGTCGGCTGTGGAGATGGAAGGCTGGGCCGGAAAGATGGAAGGTGGGGGGAGGGTCGGGTAAATACCGATCGGTTTTCGCCGGTGCCCGAGCCCGGCTGCCGCCAACCTCTTCATATACCCACCATGCAGTACCATCAGGCGTCCGAATGCCGAGCTGCGGAGGTGCAGTGTTTCGGATTCTTATCCCAGCGAATTGCCGGTGATCATTCGGGACGTTTGCGAGGGGAACGCCGGAAGTACTAGACAACTCAAAACCGAACGACTACTGCCTAGATGTTTGCCGAGCAACTTTGGCCAGCATGAAGACTTTTTGCGAAATTTGGACAAACATAATGTGCGTCATAAGATCCTAGAGCCTGAGCTCTGGGGTCTTCAACTGAAACAAGGTATGGGGCAGATTGGGGCAAGGCCTTGGGCAGGTTCAGAGGGCTCCAAAATACAATTTTCAAGGTTTGGAAAACACACATCGATTTGTTTCAGCCTTGCTGATGCCCCTGGCCACAGTCCCGAGGCTCTACTTGAGCCACCGAGCAAATCTGGAGCTCAATGCCATGCCTCAACCCGAAATTCGTTCTGCAAATCTTGAAATCTTGTTTCCAGGGCTCCGCATTGCAATAATCAAGGCTTGGACGTGCATTTAGAATTGGTTCAGCTTTTGCCGGTGTTCCTTGGCCCCGCTCGTCGATTCCCAGGGACCCGACATGCACCCTGAAAATTGAAATGTAAAAACCCTAAGCCCTAAACCCCAAACACTTTTTATCATATGTAGTTTGTTATAAACCTTGTATGAGCAGAAACCGAAGACCTAAACCATCGAAGAGCTCGCCCTACTGGGCGGCATGAACAAATGCGCGCGCAAGCGCGCGCAAGCAACAGTCGCAATTGCGCGCGTAAGAGTTGCGCACCGGCTGCTTTAAAACACGGTGCGCGCAAGGGGTGTGCGCAAGGGTATTTTGAGATTTTACAAAGACGAGGACGACGACTGCTGCTGCTCCTGCTCCTGCTCCGAGTTCCGAAACAACCAAAATCAGTTTTTACGCAGGGTTCAGCACGCAAGGCACGCGCAAGGGGCACTCTCCAACTTCGACCACTCCCCATCCCTTAGTCATCAGCAGCATCGGCCCCAAACCCAGCCTTGCTACGGTACCTTACGTCGCGAATCGCTTTATCGGAGGAGAATCTCAGCAAGCTGTATATCAGTCCTGCGCAGAGACCTGAAATGCGCGACGGCGCGCGCAATGACCTAAAGGTTGAAGCAGATTCGAGGGGCCGCGCGCAAGGGACAGTTGGCGTTGCGGAAGCTGCGCGCACCAGAAACGCGCAAGGGTTTGTTCGCGTCCAAGGATTGAAGAGAGGTTTTGACCGCTGCTCATATGGATTCTTCTAGGTTTCTTTTCTCCAAATTCCAGTAACAAATTGCCACATTCCGCACATCGAGCTCCCGAAGCCTTCTACCAGGCCCAAATGCATTTTTCAAAGCGTGCTAAACGC